CTTTTCTTTTCTCCCTATTCCCCTTCCCCTTCCCCTTCCCCTTCCCCTTCCCCGTCCCCGTCCCCGTCCCCGTTTCCCGTCCAAAGGAATAGATAGGTAGTACTCCTTAGCCTACCCATCAACCAACCAATCAACCAATCAATCAATCAATCAAGCCATCAGTCAATCAATCAATCAATCAATCAGCTCGGCTTCAATTTTCTTCTTCTCTCGCTCCAACCTTCCTTCGTATCCTACTACTTCTATTCCTACTCCCCTATTCCTATTCCTATACCTGTTCCTGTTCCTGTTCCTGTTACTGTTCCTGTTCCTGTTACTGTTGCTTTGCCTTTTTGATTTTGCGAAGCCCAATATATATATATATATATATATTTTCACTTTACTTACTTTGCTCACTTTACTCACTTTACTCACTTTACTCACTTTACTCACTTTACTCACTTTACTCACTTTACTCACTTTACTCACTTTACTCACTTTACTCACTTTACTCACTTTACTCTACACTACTCTACTCACTTTACTCTACTTTACTCTACTTACTTACGCACTTACTCACTTACTCACTTACTCACTTACTCACTCACCTATTTACTCGTGTGACTCGTATGACTAACTAACTAATCCAGCTCGACTCAATCACTTTCTCATAAGTATCAGTCTGTGATACGGATAGCCAGCAGGTTCAGAGCCGGGATGAAAAAGAGGTATGGGAAGGGGAAATTATTCTCATTTTATTCGACGTAGACGCTGTAGCTCCAGATCCCGTCCTTACGACCACCCCCCCCCCTTAACTACCGAAAGAAGAAGCGCTAGAAGCAACCCAATTATACTTCTAATGGCTGGCAGCAGAAATTCATTCCTAGGTATCCATCATTGTGTGAGGTATAAAACCGGTCCGATAGAACGCCCTCCAAATGCACACATCCCATTCATATCACATCAAGCGTCATCCCCTTCCCCTTCCCTCACTATCGCCGAGAAAATTCCGTCTATGCCCTCTACCGCTCACCAGTTTAAGCGCGGGAGTCCTTCAGAAAGCCCTGCAGATACCCAGCCAGTCCTTTCCGATCCGTAGACGTGGTCATCGACTTGATGAAATCCGAGCCGTTGACGCCCATCGCGGGGAAGAACTCCTGCTGCAAGTGCTGGATGAACATATCGCCTGTCTTCAGGTAGATCATCTGCTCCAAGCCGGCGATCTCGTTGAGGACTTGCTTGGCTTGTGCGTCTGTTGCAGGGCGGAAGGTCTGTTCGCGGAGGACGACCCAGCAGATCGGGTGAAATCTTTCGATCAGGAAGCGATCGAAACCGTCGAATGCTGGGGAGGGAGCGGTGGAGGAGGACGCTGGTTGCGGTCCGATTGTAGCGATGTTGGCGCCGCCCCACAGGTCGGCCATGCGTGTGATGACCGAGAATGCCAGTCGGCTAGCTGCAAGGTTTCCTGTGCCACTGGTAACGGTTTGTGCTAGTGTGGTAACCGATGCGATCAAAGACTCAAAGAAGCCCTGGTTTGAGGCACTGACGAGGACCGATGCCAGGTCGTTGTTCAGGATAATTTGGACGAACGTCAGGTATTCCCGTCGAAGCTCGGCAAGCTGAACCTCGTCGTCAGTACCGGTTATTGGCTCTGCTAGACCAGCAAAGACTCGTTGTAAGAGTGGCGTGAGGAGCGAGTCCAAGACATCATAGATCTCCTTCTTGAAGCCAAAGACGACCTGATCCAGCAAGCGCAGGAACATGGCCATCTCATCCTTAGACGAGCTTTGGGAGAGTAGACCATCGATCCAGCGAGGGAGTGATGGTAGGATTCCAATCCCCAAAACGCCCATCAATCTAGTGAAAGAAGCTCTGGCTGCTGTACGCACATCGAATGAGCTCTTGAGAGCCTCGAGGGCGATCAAGATGGCCTCTGCCGCACGGCTGAATTCCGCAGACACCTCGGGCTTTGGAGCATGAGATGCGGTCGAGGGATTGCCAGGAGTCCAGTCAGAGAATCCATGCGCTAACGTACCAAGGGCCATGATAACGTGGTGGATTTGCTGAACGGCTTGAGCATCACCGGATTTAGCTGGTCCCAGATTCCTCTCAATATCAGAGAAAAGCGGCTCCATGATGGAACGAGCATACAAAATTTGCTTCTCTACCGGCGTCGTGGTGGTTGAAGAAATGCAGCCGATCGCCTCGAACAGATACAGCTGACCATTGAATGCCGCATCCGCAGAGTGGTCACTCTCGTCCGAAGACATGTCGTCGTCAGCCGTCTCGTTTGGAACCTCAGCCTTGATCGGAAGGAGATCACCGATAGACTGAATGACCGTTTCCGCAACATTGCCGACATGTGCTCGGAGGTGCTTGACAAATCGTTGGAACAGGTACCAGGAGCGTGTTCTGACTCTAATATGCGGATAATGGACAAGTACGACAAACTGTTCTAGGACTGGTTGGATGTACCGAGACTGATTCTCGAAGAATGAGCAATAACGGACGACGATCTCCATGTATTGCAGTTGAATCGCGGGATGAGCGAAGTTGGCAATACCTTGTGACAAATTAGCCTCCGCTTCCACAATGTTATTCTCGCCGAATCTTACCAGACTCCACCATCTTCGACATCATAATAATCAGACGCTCCGCAGCCACACTAGATGGCTGGCTCTTGGCGTACAAACCACCATTAGGAATCGTAAGCTCTCCGAACAAGTACATCTCGTGGAGGGCTAGGTCAAGATCCCGCCAGTCCATCTGGCCGCCTTGCTGATCGAGGTTTTGGAACGTGTTACCGATCACATTGCTGAGAATATCCACGTAGAGGGCTTCGTCAACGGCCGCCACGCTCTTTTGCAGAACTTGCAACCGCTTTCTCAGCTCTTGGAATTCTGCTTCGTCAGTTTGCTCGTCTTCGGCTCCCCATGATGACGTCTCGTCATATCTCATTTTTTGAATTATAGCGTTCAAGACGGGCGGCAACATCTCGGCGAATTTTGTAGGCAGAGGCTTTGCTTTCCGCAAGAAAGTAAGAAGGTCCGTGAGCGATGGGATGACAGTCGAACATATCTCATCATACTCATCGGCGAAGAAGCGTAGTAGAAGTGGGAGGAAAGAGTGGATGAGCTGCTCGGCCTGTTCCCGGGTATCAATCGGGGCCTGTGTGTCCTCCAAAACCTTGACGATATCAAAAACGGTATTGTTGACAAGCTTCGCAACCGCTTCAGCCAAGTCCGTATCATAGCTGGAAGTTGTCCGCAGATCATGCAAAGCCGGGCTAGAAATCAACTGCGAGATGACTTGTCCAAGGTTGAGGTAGACAATCAGACCGATCTTATCCGCAGGCTTCATCTTCTTGGCCACGATCTCGGTAAAAGTATCAATAGCGGCGTCCCGAACCTTGTCCTCGCCATTGCCGGGTTTGATTCTGCCCGCAAGGTCGAACAGAATGGGAAGAACCCCTTGGAAGATCAGGGATATATCGATCCAGCTAACCCATTTCCCAATAACCTTAAGGCACATCTCCACCACGCCGTCATTCTGGTCCCTCCATTGGTTCAGGATCTCCTCCCAAGAGGCAGCCACTTTGGCAACATCACGAACTCTCATAGCATCCTTCAATTGTGTGTTTCGCTTCGTCTCTACAGTCGAGCGTGAGATAATGACATCAGCAATCTCATCGTGAATCGATCCCAGGATCCGCAAGTACAGAACTGTGCCGTTGAAATTATCCCTCGTCCCGTTATTCCGGAGACTCGTCAAGCCCAGAATGTCGTCTATAAAGCTCTCCCACCCTTGGTTATACAGCGAAACGAAGAGGAAGGTCAAGGTCTGGGTGAGCTTGTTTTGTAAACTGGCGGGGTCGACCTCAGCCTGGTCCCCAGTCGCATAGGTCCGCCGGACATACTCCAGGAGCGTCTCCTTAATGTGGTTCAAGCTTGTGGTATCCAGCTGCTGGGTCTGGATCGCATTGTTGACTACGTCCAGGGACACCAGACGGACGACCTCGGAGCACTTGGGTGTTCGCGTGAAGAGGGCAACGCACGCCTCCCGGCCCGAGGCGTCGGTCCGTAGCTGGTTGAGGAAGTCGAAAGCCTGCGCCTTGAGGCTTTGCTCAGACCGAGGGTTCCAGGCTATCTCGATGGCGTTTTCGACCTTGGAGAGAGAGGAAAGGGTGTCAGTCCCCGTGGATGATATTATAGAGGTAAAGGAGGGAATTTTCTTAATCTCCGAGCATGCACCCCGCCATCAGAAAAGCCGCCGTCTGGGCCGCTCGTTCACGTACCTGGTTGTCCATGATGGCCTACTCTCAGGTTGTATGCAGAGGACCGCAAGCAGGAATTGCTGTGGCAGAATTGGGAGCGGCTGCTTTGTTTGCTGTCGGGGAGGTGTGTAGGCATGTATCATGCTCTTGGAGAGGTGACTATCGAGTCATAATTCTTTTGGGTAGTGGGCGGTGACGAAGAGATTTTCTATTTGAGGAGATTAATAGACCAGTTGACGAGGTACTCCTAACTGTCAAGTGCTTGCAAAATTATGACTATGATGCACAAATTCCCGTGGGAAGGTGTATTCTATAGCAGACCGGTTCTAGGACAATGTTGAATGTTGTGGGTAGAGAGAAAGCCTACCCCACCACGGTACTTTGTCCGTAGGTGTTTGGATGTGGTACGTAACAAGGGTCCCAGCCTTCCCATATCTGGCGCCTCACCCACGACGCAGGTGGGCGGGCACTCGTGTGCTCGTGTGCTTGTTTACACGTCAAACCGTTATTTTGTGTACCTTCTTTCACCTTACTACACAATGCTCGGAAATATGCTAGCTAGGCTATCTATCTTTATGCACGTTATAAACTTACTGCGCAAATCTCCGGGGTGTCCATAAACCCCAATATAGTAAACAGACTTTGGGGATTTTTATTAAAGATTTGTACATGTCGTTCAATTACTTATACCGGCGGAGCAGCCAGGTACGAACCATTACCAACACCGGCAGCGAGAGCTTTGAGATCCATCCTTCCCATCTATGAAGCGCTCACCATCTGATACACTTGCCGAAAAGCGCGATGCATCATGTAAACTCCTGCGGCCAGGACGGTTATGAAAACCAGAAAATCAAGAGGAAAAAAGATCGTTATAAGCAAGAGTCCCATCCCCACCTTGCGCAACCATCTTAAGTGGGTATCCGAGATCTCTTTGCCTCTTCCAAACTGGCCCTCATTTGCTTTCCTGGGTCTGGTACTGTTGTTATAATCTTCGTCTTGAGATGGGTCGTGACTCTCCTCGGCATCATCTTGTCATTGGAAAGGGAAGCTGCCAGGGAAACCTTGGGGAGCACCACCGGCTCGTCGTCCACCACCACCTCCTGGCATGCCACCGCCGAAGCTGTGAAAGCCACCTCCTCCACCTCGGCTACCACCGCCCATCTGAGCATACATCTGCATCAGGACCTCAGGATCGATGGTCATACCGCCACCGCCCATACCACCGCCTCCGAATCCCTCCATCGGGTCCATGAGGTCCTCTCCGCTGTCGTATCTTGCACGCTTCCTGTGCTCCAATTAGTAACTATTTACGGTGAAAATAACGATATATAACTTACTGGGGGTCACTCAGCGTCTCATAGGCCTCTCCGACATCCTTGAACCTCTCCTCAGCATTTTCGTCATCTCTGTTCTTGTCAGGATGGTGGATAATGGCTGCTTTCCGGTATGCCTTCTTGATCTGCGTCTCATCGGCATCCTTCTCAACCCCAAGAATCTTGTAGTAGTCCTTCCGCTTGCTCTTCTTCAACTCCAGCTCGGCATTTCGGAGGTCCTTGGCGATACTGCCATCGGAGGGGTCTGACTCTTGCAATTCCTTGAGCTCTCGGACAGCAGCTTCCCAGTTGCCTGACTGGCCTAGGGCAGCCGCCTTTGTCTTCTTGGCTTTGGTGTATGACGGATCGAGAGAGATGGCACGCTCACAGTCCTCAATGGCACCGTTGTAATCCTTCAGTCGGTTTCGGCACAAGGCTCGGTTCTGGAGGAGTTTGGAGTTCGTTCCCTTGTTCAGAGGGTCGACTTGAAGAGCCTCGGAGTACTTGTCCATAGCCGCTTGCCAACGTCCAGCCTTGTAATCAGCATTTCCCTCACCCTTCATCCGGTCAAGCTTCTGAACCAGCCTCAAATACTTGACAGCATCTCTGTAGTCTGGGTCACAGTTAAGCGCTTGTCTGAAGTGGCTGATGGCCTTATCGTTGTCTCCTTGAGCGTACAGGGCCCGGCCTCTGAGAACCAGAGCCTCGGGGTCTGCGCTGTTGTTCCGCAGCAGAGACATGGCGACATTTTGAGCATCACCCAGAGCATTGACATTACCCATCTTCAGGTAGGCCTCTCCTCGCATCAGCTGCCACTTTCGGGGCTTCGTCGCACCAATGCCAAGCAATTTTTCTGCCTGGTCAAGAGCATGCAATGCCATGGAACCCGTCGTGCCATTCTTCAATGCGTCCTCAGCGACTCCGATGTGTTGGAGCATAGACTTGGCTGGAGCAGTATCCTTCGCAGACGCAGGAGGTTGAATGCGGGCGTAGGTGGTGAGCGCCTCTTGAGGACGGCCCAAACTGGTGTAAATGCGGGCCAGTCGGAGGAGGATCTTTGCATTGTCTGGGTCCAGCTCGTCGGCTCTGATGCAATCATCCAAGGCACTAACGTACTCGCCATTGGAAATGTATGCAGCTGCTCGGTTGCTGAGATAGGTGGCTGACGACGGTTGTGCTTCGACGGCTACAGAGAAGAGGTTGTCAGTCGGACTTAGCAAACTATTGAGACTTTGGAGATGGTACCTTTGGTGTACTGCTCGATCGCCTTCTTGTACTGCTTTGCCTTGTAGAACTTGTTCCCCGCCGCCTTGAACGCCTCCGCCTCCTCCGCCGTTGGTGGTGAAGCGGCAGCAGGGCTAGTTGGGTTGGATTTGTGCGGAGGAGGGACTGGAACCTCTCCGTTCGCAGGAGCCGCGGTACCATTTGGTTTGGGGGGGTTGAACGCCGCCGACACGTTAGACTGAATTGGGGGAGAGGTGAGAGGAGCGCCGTTGTTGGAGTTGGAGCCCTCGCTGTCCAGGTCCATTCTGTCCGGGTCCGACATGCTGCTGGAGAGTGCAGAGAGCCTCCGCAGCTGATCGGGCGGCAGATTTAAAGGGTGGGTGTTCGGGTCGTAGGGGTGCCGTGATGACTTGGTGGAGGACTTCTGAGAGCTGCGGTTGCTTCTAGAGGAAGAAGCCTGCGCGTGCTTATGATTTTCTTTCTCTTCGCGCGGCCTGGAAGATTTCGAGGATGAAGACGAGGATGTTGCGGTCGTTTTCTTGATGGGTGAGCGCGACCGTGAGGAGGCGGGTTCTTCGTCGCTATCTGATTTCTTGGTTGGCTTTTTGGGTGATCTGGAAAAGATGTTCATTTGGAGATGGCTAGCTCCCGTAGTTGGGGGGGTTCAATAGCGTGGGTATGGGTGTGGTAGTGTAGAAACCGTCGGAATCTGAATTTGTGGCAAAGAAAGCAAGCAAGCAAGCAAGCAGCGGCTGGTCCAGTGGGATGGAGGAGGGAGGAATATGCTATGTAGCGGTACCGTGCCTATTGAAGCTCAATCCATGTAGGTTAGTATTTCGACGAGAGACTCAAGGCCGCCGCAAAAAAAAAAAGAAAAAAAAATAAGTTAAATACAGAGAAGTGTGTCGGGGTGTCGGTGGATTAGAGTTGTGGTTGGGATTTTTAGGTGGGCGGACGGAGAAGGTAAAGAACCAAACGATGGTCGGAAGAGATCACGACAGATGTCCTGGTCTGATGCAGAGCAGCGTATCGACGTCAAATGAATGGGTGGCTGAACGGCGGTGATGGATCACAGAACCAATCAACCTATCGATGGTTGGATTTCTGCTTCTCTTTCTTTCCAATCAAGACAGTTGGGGCAGGGGGGAAAATCTGGTCGGGATGGGTCGTGTCGTGTGGGGACAAGGAGTGAGTGCACGGAAGAAAATAATTGGAAATTTCAGACGTCTTGGTTCAGAATGCCCTTCTTTCTAGAAGCTTCGGTATCGAGTGGATTTTGTGCACTACGACTAAGAAAAGAGTAATGTATGATTGATGAGGACTTGTCATCCGACTGCGAATTAGGAAAAAGCCCTAGCCAGTATCGAATCGCTATACACACATGTGTATACATTTTACCATCTCTTTATATTCAAAATCATATAGAACATCCGCGGCTGTCTTACCCTACCCCACCAGAATATACAATGCCCCAGGACCCTTAAGGAAATCAACATTGGTACTAGTCGGGTATACAGTCACTACTACCGGTACTAGGTATGCTGCCTACAACTCCATGAACTCAGGATCAACAGACCTTGGCAACTAGTTACCAATACCGGTACCGGTATGCTTGCACATCTTTCTTTCATTGTACGTTACTACCGCTACATTTAATCCCACTCGATCGCTACCGCGCCTCTATGCATTCGGAGAATTTTTGACTCAGAAGTGAGACAAAACCGTTGACAATACTTCCAAATTTCAACAAAGTACGTAGTACCGGTATACAGACATACCAAATTCCAGCCAGCATTCATAAACTTGCCAAACGCAAGTCAACACCCCTCCTATCATTACGTACGTTTTGTACGTAACTGCGAGGCGCTGGGCCCGCATCGCAGTCACACTCTCCCCTTCCCTCCATTCATTAAAATACCTAGCTGTGCAGGCACCCGTATAAATATCCATACACATACAACCAAAATTACCTACCGTACAGTGTACTCAATAAACCACTTAAGCGTACACGCAGCGGTTGATGTCAGAGAAACAGTGGTAGCGGGATTGAGAGAGAGGGCTGGATGGGGTAGGCACGTGGTGGAAAAAGAGAGTTTAGAGTTACCTAGGTCCATGGCGCCGGGGCCGGTGAGGATTGAGGCTGAGCGTGAGATGGCGGAAGCAGAGCCGGCTGACCGGCGGCCGAGGGCCCTGGGCAAAAAGTAAACAATCCCAGTCATGTAGGGCAAAGCGAGGCAAAAAGCTTGCCTTCCACTATATTCCATTATATTCCATTCCATCCAAAAAAGAAAAAAAAAAAAAAAAAAAAAAAACCTAATAATACAAAAACCAAAGCCCCAATATAGAAGAAGAAAGGAGAAAGAAGAGAAAGAAAGAAGAGAAAGAAAGAAGAGAAAAAAAAAGCAACCCCCCCCTCCCCCGCCCTTTAGTTTTCAAACAAAAGTAAACAAACAAACAAACAGTATACATAAATGAGCAACAATACTCTCCTCTTCTCCCTTCTCTCCCCCACCCCCTCTTTCTACCCTCTTAATCCCCAATCCCCAGCCCCCACCCAGCCTTCAAAAATCACATCCCACCCAAGCGAGAGTAAATAGTTGGATAGACCAAATAAAAGTCAAAACGAAAGTAAACAAACCCCCTCTCC